ACACAAAAGCAATATTTGATACTTTTGAAGAACGAGACGCAAAAAAAATATTTGTAAACAAGAATATCATTATTTTGATCTATCATAAGTATTAAAAAAAAATGCAAGAATATAGCGTGGATTCCTTAAGACTGATAAATACAAGAGGTTATGGTGATGGTCTATTTCAGATCAAAGAAGGAAGAAATAGGAAACTAACACAAAAACAGGAGGCAAGATTTCGTATAAGACAATAATAGGATACTCTCTCGAAAGTATCTTCAGTTAATATAATACCTAGGAAAGAAATTTCAACCCTACTATTTTCTAGGGAATCTACCTCTCTTCTCTTCTCATCCATTATATATATATATCGAACATAGACCATTATCTTCAAACATGGTCCCAAACAAAATACACGCTTACTTCTTGAATTAATCGACTCTCCGGTGGTAGCTAAAATAGTATTTTAGAGTATTTTAGGGGAAACTCTTACTCATCCTCCCAAAGATATTCTTGACGATATTACTTATGCATGGTCCAATACATTTTAGAAGATCATCGTGGCTATCTCACCAAAGACGATAACTTGGACGGAAATGTCTCTCATCAACCAAAAGGACCTAATTCTTACTCGAATTTAACGACTATTGATGTATGGCACTTCAAGGTTTATGCAAGATGTATGTGAAGGACTTGAATATCAGACGCTCTACTAGAAGAAAAAGACAAATCATAATTTTTTTGTTATTTTACAATCCTAAGATATATTACATTTCCGTTCAGCAACCAAAGTGACAAATAATTGGATTTGTTTCACATAAAACTTATTCTCTTGATAACTTCTATCCCGCGCACGGCGCGGGCCTTGCCTAGTTTAATAAACGAGTTAAGTGATCGAACTTAAATGAGTTGGCGAGTTATGCGAGGTCATGAGCTAGCTCACAAACAACTTTTTTTTAGCGATTTAAATAATATATTAACATGTTATAAATATACTTTAGATTTACCAATTAAAATATATATGCTCGTTCCATTTT